GCTGGAAATTTTTGTATCATTTCAGATGCCTTCCTTCATTGAAGAATTTAATTTCGTCATATTCATTATGTTGTCTCGACTCATTTTTGGAATTCGTTTCGTATCTTAGGCATTCGATTCATATATTCATTGGTCTGGATGGATTAAAAAAATTTGGCAGTTTTCCCAGAAGATTGCTATGGATTAATTGAAACAGAAAGATTCGTTATTTTCAGATGTTAGCCTAACCCACCCAGAGAAATAGCATGAGCTAATTGAACAATATCAATTGGCGTCATGTGCATCCAAATTAATAAATGGTATGAAATTCGGATCCATTTGTTATCCGAATTATCGAAAGAATTTGGAAATTGACTTAATTTCTTCATCAACTTCATCCAAATGAAAAAAATGCAATTTTTAATTTCATTATACCATTTTTTTGGCTTTGTTGACATTAGTTATGTCCATTTGGAGATTCGTATGCATTTGAATCTCTAAAATAAAATTTGCATACGAAAAATAAACAAAAAGCATGTGTCTAATTTCAGCTAGTACTAAAAAAATCTATCATCTGTTAGAAAAACCTTTATGCTTATGTATAGGAAATGGACAACAGCAAACAAATGGTGGAGAACAAAACCATGTTTGGCTGGAAATTAGGCACAGCACAAAGTTTATAGTACCCATAGCAAAGTTTATGGGTCAACAGCAGGTGTTGTCTTCAACTCACATGGTTACAATGGTCTTCAGGGACAGGGCTCCAGTGCTAATGAAGCACAGCTTCCTGGTTAAAATGAATATATTCATGTAAAAAGATTTTAGCATTTAATACTACTTTAACCACTTGACCTCCAGAAATGTTTTATCCCCTTCAAGAACAGGTCATTTTTTTGCTATTCAGCACTGTGCTACTTTAACTGGCAATTGCTCAGGCATGCAACACTGTACCCAAATGAAATTAGATCTTTTTTTTACACAAATAGAGTTTTCTTTTGTTGGTATCACTGGGTTTTTTATTTTTACTATATAAATGAAAAGAGACCAAACATATTGAAAAAAAAACTATTTTTTTGTTATAAAACATAAAAAAAAAATCAAAAGTTCTTCATAAGGTTAAGCCAAAATTTATTTTGCTACATGTCTTTGATAGAAAAAAAATCTCAGATCTAACACTGTGATTTTGGGATCACTATATTATTGGAGACACTAGTGTAGTTCCAACAGTGACCAGGATACTGCCCTGGGACAGACACTATACTAGTAATGGTGGTGATCAGCGACTTATAGTGTGACTGTGATAGTGTGGCGGGTAATCAAGCACTGTTGCTAAGTAACACTGGCTGGGAGGTCACCAACTGACATTAATTGATGTCACTAGCGACAGTAATACAGTGATCAGTGATAATACTGTCAGTGGCTGGGTGAGAAGGGTGATCAGGAGAGCAAACTTTGTGCCCAACAAGTGTATGTTTGCTGAGTTTATTCACACACTGGCTGGCTTTTCTCCCTGATCTCCGCTCCGAATGGTAATTGACATTAGGAAGCAGAACTGGCCAGATCTGTCAAAATCATTGGCTATGAGCCTGCTGACAAACCCCTGTTGTGTCCAACCACAGCATGAGCAGCATGCACGCCTGTAAACCTGGAAGTTCCTCCACAGCGTATGGGCACGTTATAGAGGAACATCAGAGCTGACAGCCAGCAGAAAAAAGTTCAACTACTGGTCGGAAAGTGGTTAGAATTGAACTCAAGACTTTAGCAAAACCGGTAAATACACAAATGATAAACATTTAAGGGAGCTGCCTTACAGGTCAACAAATTTGAATTTCTGGCCACTGGCCCTGAGACTTACACAGTCCGCACTACCAGTCAGGCTACCAACATTTCTTATATGTAGTTAATCAAGCCTTCCCCATGATAGGCAGTGGAGGAGCAGCAACAGACTAATGAGATCATCTCTCTGCTCTCTTCTTCTGTTCGCAAATTCTGTCAACACATCTGATGCACTAATAAATACTCAATGTATTCATTGTTGATCACTGAGCCATCAGTCTAAAGTGCAGTTTTAATTGCAGCCCTACGCAAAAGATGGCAGTTTTTTGGCTGGATCAGGTGACAAACTCACATGTAGTGGCCCAGGAGCTTGCAACCATTGTAAGAAATTGGGATATGGTAGGCTACAGAAGCTGCCCCAATAGCTATTTTTAACACCAGCACATTTACAGACATTCCTGTTCAATTCTATGGGGTCACAAATGTCCATCTGTACTGTGAAGCGCCGTCCAATCAACTTTGCTGCATTTGGCTGAATCTGGGCTGATAGTATATCTCTAAACACTGCAAAATTCATCTGGCTGCTTCTGTCTTCTGTCACTGACACTCCCCTCAGATGACGCATGGGTGCACGAAACGCGTGAGAGGCCAGTAACGCCGTGATGTCACGCCGCCAGAGCAACGAGGAGCTCTGGCAGCCATCTTTTAGCTCTGGACGGTTAGTCCACATGGTTTTTACATGCCCTACTGTTTGTTTTTACCTGGATGCTTTGCAATAAATGTTTACAAAGTTACTACACTATGGACATCCTTTTGCTTTGACTCCCCTGAGGAGTTTCTGATTCACAGCCATCCTAACATCCAGAGAGGGAGCCTCCACTAGATACAGAGGACTGCACTTACCTATCCCATAAAAGGGAGCTCTGAATGACCTTGATACCAGTGAATCCACACCTCAGAGTCCATCCACCCATAGAGGAAAGGCTTAGGATTCCTACCATCATCATGATGACATCAAAATTAATTACTAATGCGCATTGACGTGTGCTTTCTGGTGAGTGCGCATTGCTTATACACCTACATGCACATCCACCGGGTCCAGGAAGACGCATGATTAATGAGCACTGTAGTCACCTGATGAACTTTTATATGATTTATCAACAATCAGTATTTTATGTTTATATGCTAACTTATAGACTTTTTTTTTATCTTAGCGCGGCACATCATTTTATTTGTTTGGAGGTTTTCTTGGTTACCTTGTGCTTGGCTGCTTTTAATTTAATTTATTCAGTTTCTTTTCTTATTTAGTTTCTTTGGGCGCTCACATCTACCTATTCTTTACAATAAACACCAATGACCCAGTGGCACTGGAAGCCATGCATGCCCATGCCATCACACTGTCTCCACCATGTTTTACAGATGACGTTGTGTGTTTTGGATCATGAGCTGTTCCAAGCCTCCTCCACACTTTTTTCTTCCAATCATTCTGGTACCGATTAATCTTAGTTTCTTCTGTAAAAAGAATGCTTTTCCAGAACTGGTCTGGCTTTTTTTAGATGTTTTTTGGCAAAGTCTAATCTGGTTTTTCTATTCTTCAGGCTTATGAATGGTTTGCACCTTGTGGTGAATCCTCTGTATTTGCTCTCATGAAGTCTTCTCTTGTCTGGATGTTGTGCATGGGGTTTTCTTTACCATAGAGAGGATCCTGCAATAACCCACCACTGTCGTCTTCCATGGACATCCATGCCTTCTTATGTTGCTGAGCTCACCAGTGCATTCTTCTTTCCTCAGAATGTACCGAACTGTGGAGTTGGCCACTCCTAATGTTGCTGCTATCTCTCTAATTGATTGGTTTCATTTTTGAAGCCTTACAATGGCATGGGCGGACTATGTGCTTCTTGTATTACTGTACCTTATGTCATTGTTGAATAAAAATTAATGAACAAGAAAAAAACACCTGAAAAGCACAGCAAAAAGGACTCAATACACTCATTTCAGGTGTTCCTATTCAATTATATGGGGCCAAAAATGCCCAGTTCTGCAGCACAAGTAGCTCATGTAGGTTTTGGAGCATCAGGCATCAAGCTCCAGGCACCTGAGTGGTCAAATGTGAACAGCCGCCATTGAAATACATGGGATTTCAGATGTTGAGCTTTTGGAGGTTCAAGCTACAAAGCGCTCAGGTGTAAATGGGGCCTTAGGCATGAACGCAGATTATGCACATACATCTGCTAGCCAACATTGTGACCAGTTTAAAGTCCCAGACATCTAATGCAAAACCTCATGCGAACCACATCCAAAAAATGTGTATAGCCCATATGTGAAGGTACCCACCCATTTAAAAACAGGCATGGGCAACCATGAGGTAGAAAATGCAGTACAGCTTTTTAGTATAATATTAGGGAGAATGGTTGATGGAAAAAAATATATTCTGGTTACAGTATAACAAAGCTTATACAGTTCATTCTAATGGAAAGTTACATCTCTTCAGTCTACACAGACATGTGACGCCCTCTGCAGGTTACATAGACTCAACGTCATAGAATACCAGTACACACAGATTTCAAGGCTGTTGTATAAGACAGAAAAGGCAAACTACTTGCATAAATACATTGCCCGATGTCAACTCAGCCAAAACACTTGTTTAATGTTTTTAAAAAGTATTTAAAAAAGGAAAAGAGGTGATCTACCCATGAAAGCAAGGCTGCTTCGTCCCTAGAACATGTGCTAAAGAAGAGCAAAAATCTCCCCTGGGACTTTACTACAGCAAAAAAAAAAATGAATGACCAAAAAGAGTATGAATACAACCCAAATTTTATTTTTCAATGTATAAAAGAATTTGATTAAAATGTTGCAAGCATGTGCGATAGACCACCATTATACTGAGGGCACTACAAGCACGGACAGCTGCCCCCTTTGCACATCAGACACAAGGAAGGACACCCATGCACTTCCAGCAATGCAACAGTTTGCATTTCTTCTTCTGGTAATAAATGTGAGTTGTTTTTTTTTTAATCTTAAATCTCAATATATGGTTGTACATTGGTCTATATACTTGCATTTGTTTATTTTTAATCTACTCATTTAGACAGTGTATTACTTTCCCCTGGTGAAGACTTTTTGATAGTCAAAATGCATTGAGAACTTTGTGATGCATTTTAACTCTGTATATGTACTATAACTGTTTATTGTACACACTGTAGGAACTCTGTAAGTGAAGTTAATCCTGTATGCAGAGGGGTCCCTAGGGTTGGTGTCACCTGGTGCGGTAACACTTGGTGACACCCCCTCTGACGATCCCCGCAGAACGGATCGGATCTGCGGATTGAGCATAATAGATCAGACTCCGATCCATTATGCTCAATCCACAGATCTGATCCATTCTGTGGGGTTCGTGGGCTTTCTTTACAACTTGCCTTTTCTTGGAGCAGGTCCGGGATGTCGCAGTTTCAGGCACGATCAATGGATGATAGCAGTAGTTCTATCTGATTGATCGCGCCTGAAACCGGGACATGCGCAGTTACTTCAGGGGTACATAGCTACATGGGAGACACATCTTGCAGATACACCAGTGTCACCCTGGAGGTTTGTTCGCATGCAACCTATACGGGGTGACACCAGACCCGCTCCAAGAAAAGGTAAGTTGTAAAGAAAGCCAACGATCCCCACAGGATGGATCGGATACATCCTGCGGGGATTGGCTTGTTTTACAACTTACCTTTTTGTGGAGCGGGTCCGGTGTCACCCCGTGCGGACCGCACCCCCCGCACCTGCCTCGGGACGCCACTGCCTGTATGGTATACAATAATTGTTTAATGCATACATTGTGTGACATGTCAAAGTTTGTATGAATGGATAGAGACCAGAAATTTATCTTTTAATCAAAACCTTTTATACACTGAAAAATAAAATTTGGATTTCATTCATATGCTTTTGGATGTTTCTTTTTTTTTTTTTTTTAATAAAGTCTCATGGGAGATTTTTGCTCTTTTTTTCACACTGTTTTAAAAAAGTTACTTTTCAAGAGAGCTGTTCAGAGTAGAATATAGGAGCTGCCATTGATTTGCATGTTCTGGGGACATCTTCAGAAACCTTGCTGACTTCTTAGTGATTTAACCAGTAAAAGCATGTAGATCACAAATTACTAAATTATTGGTAAATATATGGACATATCTGGCATGCCCCTGGGATATTGAGACAGACATATTGTGTGTGTATATACTGTATATGGGCAGCACAGTGGCTAAGTGGTTAGCACTTCTGCCCTTCAGTACTAGGGTCGTTGGTTCAAATCCCAACCACAGCACCACCTGCCTGGAGTTTGCATGTTCTCCCTGTGCCTGCGTTGGTTTCCTGCAGGTACTCCGGTTTCCTCCCACACTCCAAAGACATGCTGGTAGGTTAATTGGCTCCTGTCTAAATTGTCCCTAGTATTTGTATGTATGAATGTGAGTTAGGGACCTTAGATTGTATACCCCTTGAGGGTTAGGGACTGATGTGAATGTACAATATACTGTATATGTAAAGTGCTGTGTAAATTGATGGCGCTATATAAGTACCTGTAATAAATAATAATAATATACATGAGCAGGCAGATTGCTATGATGCAGTCGGCCAGCTTGAACTTGTATTAGATTACACATGAACCAAAAAGCCCTGCTTTTCTACAAACCTTTGTTAGAAATATATAAAAGTGTGTAGCAGTGTGCAAATAGGTTAATTCACTGAAACCAACTATACTGAACACTGGTCATTTACACATCTACATAAAAGGAAAAAAAAAAAACCAAAACAACATTAAAAAGAAGAATGACAAATTCATCTAGCTATTGATCATTAGAGGAATCACCTCAATTTAAACCTAAAGACACCTACTGATCAACTATACTGATAAAATAGGATTTTTGACTTCCTGTAAAATCTTTTTTGCGGAGTACATTGGACAACACATCGACAAGTCTGAGACATAGATCCCTTCAGAAGATTGATCACTGGCAAACAAAGCTGTTAGGACTGGATGAACTTTTTTTTCAACCAAACTAACTAGGTAACCCTTCCCATTCCCAGCATGCCTCAGTTTGGTAGCAAGCAGTAGGAGGAGTGGATCAGAACAGAGGGATGGGACTGGTGCCCTATAACATACTCCCAAGGAAAGGATTTTACAGGTAAGTGAAAAAAAACTTTATTACATTTTACATTACAGACCACAGAGTGCAGTCAGACAAATGGACATCCAAAAGCAATCCAACTGAGGGGTGGCAACACAGCAAACAAATGGCTAGCAGGCCAATGAATAATCAAAGTGAACAAGGGAGGGAAACTCAATAAGCTCACTGGGCATCAGAGACCTAAACATCCATGTCGTTGCACTGACAAACCTGGTGGTATGAACTGTAACAGGAAAAGGGGGAATCTGATAGGCTTGAATCATAAGCTACCTGATCCACCAGGAAGTAGAGTGAGATCTTTCAAGGAATGACAAAAAAAAAAAAAAGCATTAATCAATGAAAGAGGCAGCTGCAAGATTGGGATGCTAGAACCACATCCAGACAATGGGAAAAAAACCTTGGGATGTTTAGAAACAGGACAAAGAGAAGGGAGTACAATATCCAGGTTAAGGTGAAAGGGCAGAGGCCTTAATACAACTTTATCCTTGTATCACATGGAAAGTACCAGCTGCACTCAACGGTAGCAGCTGGTACTCTCAGGGCAGCACACCTGAGAGATGACTAGCTCCACCTGTCAGGAAATACAAAAAAAAAACACCCTTCCCTCCTCTCTTCAGTTATGCAAGAGTATTCCTGCACCCTGGTGCACGAAAGGTATTCTGCCTCAAATTCATTAACACCAGATACGGGTGGGAAGTAGACCTGCCGTCCGGAAAGATTTCCCAGAAACACCGTTACCGGTAAGTGTAACTGGTACTTTTCTCCAGTCATCTTCCAGGATGGCACACCTGAGACAAGAAGCAAGGAAAATAAAGCCTATCATAAGGGTGGGACCACTACCTGTAATACGTTCCTTCAGAATGCCAGGTCCTGAGGTTACAACAGCTCTACGCTGTAGTGCCTCACAAAGGTGTCCTGGCTTGTCCATGTGGCTGCTCAGCAGATCTGTTCAATCAATGCTCCGATCCTCTCTGCCCAAGAGGTCATCAGCGATCTAGTAGTGTGAGCCCTCAGGTGTAAAGGAACTGAAACCCCTGATTGCTCATAAGCTAAGGAGATGGGCTTGTCTGATCCATCTAGTTATTGTTGGCTTAGATGCTTGCTGTCCCTTCCCTGGGCCACTAAACAAAATCAGAAGGTGACTTGACTTCCTGAAGTCACTTACTCTATCCAAATATGTCAGTAAAGACCATCTGACATCTATAAAATGAAAACTCTTTTCCCTCTCATTACTAGGGTTTGACAAAAAGACGGTAGGACAATCCCCTGTGTCTTATGAAACCGTGAGTTCACCTTGGAAAAATAAAGAGGATCCTGTCTAAGCACTACCCTGCCCTTTATTACCACCAGAAAGTGTTCCTTGATCGACAAGCTCTTAAGGTCACCTACCCTTCTTGCCGTTGTAATGGCTAAAAGGAAGGCTAACTTAACTGCTTGCCGACCACCCTGTAGCAGAAATACTGCTACAGGGTGGCAGCAGTGCGTAAAAAATGTATATATGTGATTTTGCATTTCCGGGTAGGGGGTGTGCGTGAGCCATGCATACGCCCTACCCGCGCCGCCTTCCACAGCCTTCAATCACCCAGGGTCCCGGACGGTAATTAGCTGTTGGTGCCTGGTGATTACAGAGCATCTCCGACGAGGAGGAAAACTGTTTTGTTTACAAACAGTCTTCCTCCCTGTCAGCTCAGGCACACTGCTCGGAGATGGCTGTGCACAACACAGCCATCCCAATCAGTGTGCTTACAGTGAAGCACACACCTCCCGCCCCCTAGTAAAACACTCTGTACATATATTTAACCCTTTGATCACCTTAGGTTAACTTCTTCCTGCCCAGTGCCATTAGTACAGGGTCTTTTTTTTTTTTTTTTTTTGCACTGATCACCATTTTGGTGTCACTGGGGATGTCAGTGACACCAAGTTAGTTCCACCCAGTGTCAGAATGTCCACCGCAGTTCTGCTAAAAGTTGATGATCGCCGCCATTACTAGTAGAAAAAAAAAAATCCCAGTATCTATACCACCATATGTAAACGCTATAATTTACACGTATTGGGATTTTTTTTTTTTGCAAAGACATATAGCAGAATGCATTTTGGCCTAAATTTATGACGAAATTTGATTTAAATTTTTTAATTAACTTGCTTAATAGCAAAAAGTCCAAAATATGTTTTTTTTTCTCAAAATTGTCGGTATATATATTTTTATATATTTATATATATAGCGCAAAAAATAAAAAAAACGTACAGGTGATCAAATACCACCAAAAGAAAGCTCAATTCATGGTAAAAAAAAAAAAGGATGTAAATTTCATTTGGGTGCAGCATTGTGTGACTGCGCAATTGTCAAAGTACCGCATCGCCGTAACGCAAAAAATGGCCTGGTCAGGAAGGGGTAAATCCTCAGGAGAGTAAATGGTTAAAAGATAAAATCCTAATAGAAATCTGGCTCAAACGGTGGCTTGGTTAAAGCCTATAACACTAAGGTCAGATCCCAAGCCGCAAAAATATGTAGCTTAAATCGGGTAACCTCTTCCCTGGCCCCCAGAAACTCTTAACTAGGGGCTGCGATGCAAGTCTCCATTTCAAAAAGACTGATGAGGCTGCCACTTGCACCTTTAGGGTGTTTACTGCTATACGTTTATCCACCCCTGCTTGGAGAAAGTATAAGATCACAGGGACTGTTAGAAAGGAAACCCTCTTCTCCTGACACCAACTAGAACACAATCCCCACACCTTGAGATATATTTTTCTAGTGACTGGCTTTCTACCAAGGAGAAGAGTGTCTGAAACCCCCTTCTTCTAAGGATCTCCCTTTCAAGAGCCAAGCCGTTAACCAAAAAAACTCTGGATTGGGGTGCAGAGTTGGCCCCTGCAAGAGGATATTCCTCTGGACTGGGAAATGCTGTGGGGGAGCCACAGACCAGCTCTTCAAGGTGGCGAACCAGACTCTCCTTGGCCATCAAGATCAGTCTGCAGCTTGACCAGCTCAGATTCTGTTGTACCCGCAGGATCAGTGCCAGAGGGGGAATGCATATGCCAGCTAAAAATCCCATTCCTGGACTAATTCGTCCAGACCTTCAGACCCCCTACTCTCGGGCCAGGGAAATAGACCTTTTTGCCTGCTGAAAAAAACAGAAGTTAAAGCAGTATATTTCCGGGCTGCCAAAAACCTGACTTATCTGAAAAAAGACCTCGGGATTGAGTTCCCACTCTCCCTTGCAGATTAACGGTCAACTGAGAAAATCTGTTTTCATGTTGGCCGACCTCTTTATGTAGACCGCCGACACCAAAAGGACCTTGTTCTCTGCCCATCCTAAAACATCCTGAGCTAGGTCCAGGAGCTTCCTGGATCTGGTGCCCCCCTGATTGATTCAGGTGTGCCACCATCGACATATTGTCTGTCAGAATCTGGACTTTTTTCCCCTCGATCCTGTCTTCCAAGGAGTTCAAGGCCTGACCTACTGCCAGCAGCTCCCTGCAATTGGAGGTCTCCCTTAGGTGTGGCTCCCATGGGCCCTGGGCTTGTTGGCCCTCTAGATGAGCTCTCCAGCCCCACTCGCTTGTGTCTGTGGTTACCCAAACTGGGTCCCACAGCAACCATGGTCTTCCTTCCCCCAGATTC